GAGTCTGTTCCCCTCGTCGAGGAGGAAGATCCCTTGATTTCCGAATGTCTTCGAGATGAAAGCAGCGGCTTTGGTTGTGATAGCTGCGGTTATACGGAAGCGGAAAGGCATGCATGCAGCGTCAGCAGGCGTGGATGGCAGCAGGCCAGAGACATTCCGGACGTAGGTGTTGTAGACTGGTGCTAACGTAACTAAAAGTTTATCCGTTGCGATGCAGGTCATCTCCAACCCGTATAGAAGGCGACTGTCCATAATTGCACTCGCCACGTGAAAATGGATGCTGCGGTTGTTCGATCTATTTTGTCGGGAAATGGTCCGGATAAGACTCACTCGGCTGCGGCAATTCTTGACTGCACTTTTTTTTTTTTTTTGTTTATTAAGGACATCTTACATCTCCGCGATGCATTCATGTCCGTTCGATTTGATGTTTGGTGTATTGTGTATGGTGTGCAAGTTTTTTTGTTAGTGTAAGTGCTACAATTCAGTTGCTTCTCTCTTCTTTTCTTCTTTGCTTCCAAACAATTACTTTTCTCCTTCGCTTCACTTCATACTACCAACAATCAATACGAAACTATCGATTTCAAATTGGCTCACTACTTGACTAGCCTATTGGTCCCAAGCAAATCGATTAACGTACCCCATTCTAGTCGAAATTCTAGTACTACACAATCCCCCTTATTCTGCGAGTCACGTGACTCTCTGTCACCGGTGAGGTGACAATTGTCACCTCACCGGTGAGAGAGAGTCACGTGACTCGCAGAATTGGGGTGAATGTTTGTTTTGATTCGCTATGAAAGTTTGACAGATAAAATGAGGGGTTAGTGGATTTTCCTATGTTTTCGAGGGGTGAATCAATTAGCTTGGGACCGAAGATAGTACCAGAGCTGAACCAAAAAGTTGAGCACGTTTCTTCGGGACCTACTAGTCTTAGAGTTACCTCTATGATACTACTCTCCTACTTCGCTTTTCTTCACGAATTTCTTCATCTTTCTACCATATTTACCTGTGTAATTTGTTATTCTACAGTTATTTTAATTTGTTATTCTAGTCTTCTACTTCGTGTTGCTTATTATTTCTTTCACCTGTGCAATTTGTTATTCTTTAGTTCTTGTAATTTGTTATTCTAGAGTTTTTTGTACAAATCCGTTTCATGTAGGAAATTAAGCATTCGTGTTGTTCTTTCTTCCGTGTTGTCCAGAGCTTCACGTAGACTGGCGCTGATGTCATTTTTCCTTCTCTCTTCGTCGTATTTCCTGCACTCAAGAATGATGTGCTTTACATCCAACACCGTGCCACAACATTTACACACCGGTGGGGCTTCCTTCTTCAGAATAAACGTGTGGGTTAGTCGCGTATGGCCGATTCTCAGACGTGTAAGCATACGCTGGTCGGCTGAACTTCCTCGTTCTGGCCATCTGTGCGTGTCGAATTTCACCTCCCTCAGCTTCGATTCTGTTGTGCTAAACCACTGCCTATTCCACTGACCACGTATCGCATGTTTCACCGCTTTTATCGCATCCTCGCTTGGAATCGGTACGTCGATGGCTGGTTGTCTTCTAGCCTCATTGGCTAGTCGGTCAGCTTCAGAGTTTCCCCTGATGCCAGCGTGTCCAGGGATCCAGCAGAAACGGATGATTTTGCTTTGCACGATTCTCTCTACTTCACAGTTCCAGCTTCCAAAGCCAGTAGGAAGCTTGCGGAGTCCGTGAGAATAACCAACTCATTTTGAACATTAGGGATAGTGGCGGCCATTTTAATAGCGTAGGCCTCCGCAGAGAAAACACTACATTCCTTCGGAAGACTGTAGGTCCTAGATAGCCCTTCGTTGAAGAATGCAGCTCCTACCGTGTCTTCACACTTGGAGCCGTCCGTGTAGACGATGGTTGAACTACGGAAGCGGGTTTCCAGTAATTTTCGAACAACTGGACGAACTTTCTCCGGTGGGTCTCCAGCGCGTATGCTTCTTTTCACATCCCACACTATCGTCGGTTTTCGTGCGTGCCACAAGCGATTGCTCTGCCTCACGAGTGAACCGACAGCAGGAAGCGTTGAACCGGTTAATTCTTGGAGGCGATTTGAAGCGCGTGTGCTGTTTGGGTTCTTTGTGAGCATTCGGATGGCAGTGCGTACTGTGGTCTGTGCTGCTAGCAGTGCGAAGGGTAGAGTCCCAGCTTCGGCCATCACCGAGTTAATCGGGCTCGTCACGAATGCTCCGGAAGCGGAGCGAACCATTTTGTTGCAGGCAGGAGCGAGAGTCTGCAAGGTTGCTGGCCCTCCTCGACTAACAAGTCCAATCCCGTAGAGCAGCTTCGCAGTAACTATGGCTGACCCAACTTGCAGCAGAGAAGTCCGATTGCCACATGGAAGTTTTGCACCGATCATCTGTAAAATCCGTAACCGAGATTCGCATGCTTTCCTAACCATATTGCAGTGAGGTTTGAAGGATAACGTTCGGTCCATGGTTACACCTAAAATCCTCAGCCGGTTGGTCTTTGGCACGGGAGTTCCCTCGATAGAGATATCCCGCACGGGATCCCGTCGTGCGTTCGGACTGCAGTAGAAGACATGTGACTTTGTTGCCGACACAGTGAAACCAACGCTTTTCGTCCATTTGTTGATGGCTTTGACGGCGGCCTGTAGTTTTCGGTGTAAGCCTTCAGTTTTAGCACCTCGCACTGCTAAGAGGATATCTTCCCCTACAAAAGAATGAAGACTCCGTTGGGCACTACTCGGAAGATGGGCTGCATCGCGATGAGGAACAGCGTCACTGACAGGACAGAGCCCTGCAGAACTCCGTTTTCCAACGGATACTGGCGAGACATATGCCCCCCAACGGATACCTGGATCGTTCGCTCCGAGAGGAAGCTTTTCATCATGTTCAGCATCCGACCACGTATTCTCCATGACCTCAGAGTGCGGATTATGCCGCGCCGCCAGGTGGTGTCGTAAGCCTTCGACAGGTCTAGGGATGCTATCAGACAGTGCTCGTCTGTGCTTGGAAGCGTTCTCTCGAGCTCGGAAAAGTACGTGTCGGTGCCTCGCCCGGCACGGAAAGCGTGCTGTCGTTTGTCGAGTCGCCCACTCGACATGCAGCTGGTGAGCGAGATTGGACGGAACGCAGCGGGTCCGGTATCGAGGCAGTTTGGCTTCGGAATGGGCACCACGATTGCATTTCGCCAGCTGGTGGGAAACTCTCCATTACGCCAGATCCGGTTGAGCAGCTCTAGCAGTGTCATCTTCACGGACAAAGGTAGACGTCGAAGCATTGGGTACCCTATCATGTCGGGTCCTGTCGAGGCAGCTCGCCCTTTCTCGAGAGCCCACAGAAGTTCGCTTAGGGTAATGTCGCTGTTGTACACGTCGTCCGTGTTTGGCGAAACATCTATGGACTCTCTTTCAGCTGCTGCCTTAGTCTCTTCTGAAAAGAAGTAGGGTAGCTGGAGGTCGCAGATCTATCGCTGTAAAAACTGGCTAGCGCTTCCGCAGTTTCTTCGGGGTCATCGGTGAAGCCATCCGATCGCTTGAGTGCGACGGTACGTTGTTGTCGACTGCCACGTAGCGTGTTCACCGTTCGCCACAGTTCGGTTGTCGTGCTGCTTGGTGCAATTTTGGCCACGAAGTTCTCCCACGATCGTTCTTTTGCTTCCTTTATCGCCTTCCGTGCTACAGTTCTTGTTTCCTGAAACCTCGCCAATGCAGCGGGTTGATCCAGATATCTGCAGCCGCCGCAGAGACCTAAGACACTTTTGTCGATGTCGAATCACCGCCTTCGCTTCAGGGCACCACCATGGTACCGCTTTAGGCCCCATACGGCCGCTGGGTTGCGGTATGGCACGAGTTGCTGCTGCAATTATCTTCTCCGTGAAGCTGTCTACGTCCCATTCAACATCTGGCCGGATGGTTTCTGCGGTGATACGTTCATATAACGACCAATCAGCGCGATCGTAGAACCATTTCCGCCGCGTCTGCACTGAAATGCTGTTCAAAGTTGAGAAATCGGTCAACGAGAACTCCCAGAACTAGGTATATACAACCAAAAAGCGAGTTATCTTGCTTATTTATTAATTGGAATTTCGATCTATCTACGGGTTCGATTAATAAAGTATCAAAAATTATTACCTTGATCAAAATTATCCCTGCAAAGGTTTGACTTCACATTTTTAGGGCAGCGGATCACCTAAAGCTATCGCTACAACGATTCTTCACTCGGCGAAGACGACAGCGACGACGAGGACAACGACGAAAGGGACGATGATGATAGTTCGGATGTCGGTGTTTCAAGGTGATTTCTCAAATTTTCTATAACGAAAGATGGGAATGGGAAAGTTTTCGATAGTTGGTAATGCTTTACTAAAGGTTCTCAGTTTTGTTTTTTGTTTTGCTTTCTTTATTATTATTGGATTCTTCGACATACTGCTGTTTTGTAGTAGATGTTGCTACTGTTTCGTATATTTTTTTTAGATTTAGAGGTTAATTTGTTTACTTTTGTTTTTGCGTGTAGTTTTGTTTAGAGTGATAGCAGGAAAACCGAAGGATTGTTCTGTATTTCGAGTAATGCCAACGGGAAAACAATTTTGTTTTCCAAAACAGAGATAGAACGGGAAAGGATCACCTCATTATATCAACAACTGACCTAAACTATTTCACCAGATAGTGGTTATTTTTTATGAAGGAAAGTTTCAAAACAAAATAGCTGGTTTTTTTCGGCCGATAATCAATAGAAGCTAAAGGTATAAATTTTGCTAATGAGAAATAAATTTCTTTCAACTGATGCAAAAACTTAAAAATAAAAACAAAAAGATAAATTGAAACCTATACAAATTTGACATCGAGTTCCTAAACAGACAACTAACTAAATTGTACACGGTTTTCTCCTCTTGCTAATATGAATGCTGTTTGTATTTAGTGAGTTTCGGTTACTTATTTCTGTCCTTCTCGCTATTTATTCTGCGGGTGTTGTGTTAGCATGTATGGTTTAATCCTGTCTGGTTTATTTGCGATTTCCCGTCACTTCTGCTATTGACTTTCTAATTCATCGTTTATGATAAGTTTGCGCCAGTTCAATCAGTATGCTCGACACCTTCGGAAAATGGAGGATTGGGAACTAAAAACTAAAGCGTAAGCTGTATCGTTAATTGGTTAAAGCATTTGTTGTCCTGCCCATTGATCGAATCGAACACTGCAATTATTCGGAGAAGATAAACCGAAACGGTCGCCCTGTTTTAAAGTTTCCACAGCGAGCTAAATTGAGTTGCCTTACTTCACAACACAGAAGGTAGTTAGAACTCATAGAGAACAATATAAAGTTTGGGGAAAATCAACGTATTCTGTTTCGTAATAAAAGAGAAAACATAGATAATAGGTAGGTGCTATATTGGTAGCGCGCGGCGCCATCGAGAAATTATATGTGCGCTAGAAAACAAACACACACACATACGCATTTCGTTAAACTCAACAAGGAAACAAAGTTTAACAAATTCAAAGCAAACAATCGCTCGCAGTGTGTGTGGAAAACAACAGTACGGCAGGACGTGAACACGTTCGGTAGGGTTCTCCGGTTTCGATTATTCAATTGGTTCAACTTTTTTGTTGTTGTTGTATCATTTCGAAGCATTTTCTTACTATGGTATTTATTTAAATTTTTTAGTTTTGGCCCTATCAGGGACAATTTCCGATGATTTTTCTTCCCTTCATCACTACAGCTATGCCTTTCTGTTACCTTTGCCCAGGTGTGATAATTATAGCTACCATCACGTTGCCAATCACCAGTCAGTTTGTTTATTTTTGTTTTTAAATTGAATTAATTGCTTGAAACGTTGAGTCACAGAACACGCTGAAAAAAAATTTCACTTGGTTTTGTGAATTTTCATAACACTTTTATAATAAGCCAAAATCTCATAGAATTAACGTGATAACATCAATGTTATGTAAAATACAAAAATGGAGACTACATGCAAACTTTTCTTAGTGTATCACACTCATCGAAAAGCTGCACGAGAAAAAATAGTAAAACTTGAATTCAACAAATTCGTTGAAATTGGAATCTTTTCCATGAGTTCCACGAAATTTTCCAGTTAAGGACAAGATTTATAGAATCCACAAATGGCCGCTATCATGGCTGATTTTATAAGGAAAATCAGCCATGACAACGGCCATTAGTGGATTCTACCAACCTTGTCCTTAAATACCAATGATTGGGGTGGTAAATGAATACCAGTAATTTGTCGCAGAACTTAGAGAATTAGGTATTGATATGTATACTAATAATTTATATAACAATTTGAAACATTTACAATAATTCATGATGATATTTCTAATTATAAAGGTTGGGTGGCAATTTTTTGCGCTGTGATGTTTTGAAGTTGATATGGTGGTTGATGACATGATGGTAGTTTTCTTCTGTTCACCTTATTTTTTTTAGAATCAACGTATAAATTGAGTTAATCAAAGAAATGATCAACGCGTCTCGAGAAAAAGGCAGAACAGCACAGAAAGGGATTCTAAGGTAGAGGGTTTTTTTTAAAGAGTATACTTATTCAGAACTTATGAGCATTTCAAACAGGCACCTTCTACGTCGAAGTCGAGTACCAACAGTTTGGTTTCTTCCGTTCCATTGCGCGAACCGACCGCGCAGATCAGTTTTGTATCGTTGGCTCTGTGGAAGGCGATAACCGTAAGTTCTGAGAAATTTTTCACAACAAATGTATGAATCATACCTAATTCGCCACACTACGCCTCCGGAACCGCCAGACTCCAGAGCGACCAGATTGCGAATGAACTCTCCGGTCTTGACATCCCACAGTTTGACGGTACCATCATCGGAGCTGGTAATCACGAAGCGGGAGTTGAACTGCAAACAGGTGACGGCCGACTGGTGCTTGTTGGGACCTGAAATTTATATCAAGTTATTAGAATAAGAACTATGATTCTATTCCTAAAACCACTCACCCGATAACGTTTGCAAGCACTGACCAGTGATGATGTCCCATACTTTTACCGTAGAGTCGGCATTACCTGATACCAAAATGTTCGATCTGAGCTCCATGCCCGAAGTCAAACTCTGATGGCCCATCAGGGCGTGCTTGCAGCTACCCGTCTCCGCATCCCATACACGTATCGATGTATCCAACGAACCGGACACCACGTGGATGCCATCAAACTGTAACAGTATAACGTTCACACAATGTGCTTAAAAATTAATCGACTCCACAACATACCTGCAGCGAATAGACGCGATTGGTGTGCCCTTGCAACGTATGCAGACACTCCTGTCGCTCCGGGTTCCATACTTTCACCATATAATCGTACGCCCCGGAAACCACCAGTCTTCCATCGTACTGAACACATCGAACGGCAGCCAAATGGCCGACCAACACGTGCAGGCAGGTGCCTTCGTCAACATCCCAAACGCGCAGCGTTGCATCGCGGGAACCGCTGACGACTCTGTTGGAAATATGTGATAAAACAGAGTTAAGATTCATCTCATACTAAGAACCTGGAAACCACTTACTTATTTCCGTGTAAATGCATACAACGAACCGTCGACGTATGTCCGTACAGGGTATGCAGCAGCTGACCGGTTTCGGCGTTCCACACCTTCAGAGTTCGGTCGGTACTGCCGGAGATGATGATATTGCCGGACATCTGAGACGACCAGACACCACCCGTGTGACCAACCAGTGTTCGAAGGCACTGTGAATCGAAAAATAAATCGTTGAAATCCGTTCCACGACCGCATAGAAATCGGATGCATTCCCAGCAACTTACCTTTCCGGTGATGGCGGACCACACTTTGAGCGTATTGTCGTCGGAACCGGACACGATGCGGTTCCCGCAGAACTGAAGGCACGTGATAACGTGGTCGTCGTGGCCCTTCAGCACCTTCGCGGTGCGTATCGGTCTCGAGCGCCAGTTCATCTCGATGATGTGCTGTCGCATGTAGGCCGCCTTCCAGGGCGAAGAAATCGGTGGCATATTGCCGGCTCGGCCTCGCTTGGGACGATCGCCGCCGGTGACGTCCATCACGATAATCGCTTCCTTGCACTTTTCCTTCCATAAGAGGTTATCGTCCGCTAGGAAGCGCCAACTGCGGCACGTTTGGGCTGCCCGAAGCAGATCCATCGGATCCAGATAGGACAGGACCTGCAGGGCCAGTTCCTTCGGTAGGAGCGATATGAAATCGCGCTGGAACTGCGGTTCGATGACCTTCATCATGTGTCGGACCTGGGTCGGTTCGCAGTGCTCGATTAGCATGTCCACTGCCACCAGACGCTCGACCGGTGTCCATCGCTAGAAGCATAAGGATCAATCGAGTCAGAAATGGGCATCTTATAAAGGTTTTTTAGGCACGCGATTGTGACCGGTCAGTAGATAGATCGAAAGCATTCGCAAAAGAGTATGGAACAAAACGATGTGCGCAGGATTTGTCATTAATTAATGTAAGTATTGATCGCAAGGAATAACTTATAATGAACGCGAGGAAATCTTGATGGCGTATCGAGAAGTATGTTTTAAGCGGGTATGTTCACAGTTTTCTAGGCGTCTAAATTAGTGTGCTAGTTAGAACAGAGCTTTCAAGGACAAGGACTATAAGACCTTCGACGGCAAATTCTTCTAACACTAGAGGGTGTGTACAGAGGACTTCAAGCACGTTCAAATATTTTTTTATTTTTTTCATTCTTCGCGCAATGCGGAATTTCACAAACCAAAATAGGTATTAAGGTTCTTGTGCATGAGCGTGAAATCGTTACTTCGTCGTATCATGGCGCCTATTTCCGTTCTATGTGTTAAAACTATAATAGCAAAGCGTTTTCACTCATGTCTTTGCAAAAACATCTTTGCTTACAAGATTAATTACACTGAAACATTTGCGATAACCCGTAAAATGAGCGATTTTAGGGGTGTATGAGAGATCTATAGCCCCTAAATCTTGAGATTTCTGTTTTTGAAACTGCGATTTTTTTAACTTAATTAGGGGAAATGACGGCTTCGGCATGACAGATTATTTTCGGCAACACAAATTGAAACACTATTTTCACTGGATTTTCTTACGAAAACACTTCGCTGAATGCATGCAAACGATTCTTTATGCTTTCAGCTTCTATTTGACTATATTTTTACCACTGAGAAAAAGCAATCTAGCAAGGTTTTCTTGAAATGCAACACACGCACTACAAATTGTAGCTGATTTTGAGTTGCCGATAATAGAACAGCAGATTTACATGCAGTTCAAATGGAACGGTTGCCGAAGAAAAACTGGTTGCCGACAATACTCGCTCTCACTAGAGAAGATTGGAGCTTTGTAAAAGCGTTTCAAAACAGCTTTTGACAATTCTTTCGACTGAAATTTTTAGAGCAGCTGGCAGCAAAAGATTGTAAACAAACCAATACTGCATATGTGTGCGTTCCTTAGAGAAAAAGGCTATAGAAAGAAGGTCGCTGCTTAGGTTGCCGAGAATACGTAAATTCCCCTATTTAGATCTTTAGCCAACGGGCTAGTTTATCTCAAGGTGATATTGCGAAGTGTGATATGAATGAGGACTGTTTAAACAAATCTTTGCTTCTAACAATTTTACGGATTTCCAGTTTGTTTAACATTAAGGATCTTATTTAGCGGAATTTTGATAACAACATGATTTCAAAATCATATGATTAAAAGATTTCATAAACAACGCTGGTTTAATAACTCTTATTATTAAGAAGACTGACTGCTGAAGTTCATAGAAACTCCCTAAAGTTCGTAGAACTTCCCTGAAGTGTTAAGGTCTTTCCTGAAGGGTTCATTGAAGTTTGTATTGACTGAATTTCATGGGACTTCCCCGAAGTTCGAAGGATTTTTTTTAAAGATCTTAGGTAGTTCGGAGTTTTTTTTAAATTCATAGGAATTTCTTAAATATCATAGAAGTACCACGAAGTTCGTAGAAATTCTCAGAAGTTCGTAAGACTACCTTCAAGTTCGAAGAACTTTCTCAAGATCTGAGGATTTCCTTGAAGTTTGAAGGACTTAACTGTATATATGAGGACCCTAAATTTAGAAGAGCTTCCCTGATGTTCATAATAAGGCTTTAAATATCGAAGGGTTTTCCAAAAGTTTGTGGGTCTTTCCTTAATTTCTTGGAAATTCCCTGGAGCTCCCATGAATTTCGTAGGACTACCTATAGTTCAATGGATTTCTCGGAAGTTCTAGGAACTTTTTTGAGCTTGGAGAACTATGTTAAGACTTCTCTGAAGCTCGGAAAAAATCCATAAGTGTCATAGGATTATCCTTAATTTTTAAGCAATGCCTAAATGTCGTAGAAGTTACATTAAATCTGTAGAAAATTCTGTAAAATTCGTAGTTATTCCCCAAAGATTAAAGAACTTCTCTGAAATTTGTAAGACTTCTCTGAAATTTGTAGAAAATCTCTGAAGGTTCGGAGAGATTTCCTGGCCGTCGTAGATCATCACAGTAGTTCACAGGATTTTCCTGAAACTTGTAAGACTTTCCCGAATTTGGTAGAACTTGCATGAAGTTCGAAAGCCCTATCTGAAGTTTTTAGAAATAGAACTTTTTTATTGAACATGTTGAACAGGTACTTCAAAGTAGTTACGCGTCGGCACTGCTTAAGTCTGCTATCAAAAGCACAAATCATACATGCAATTGATCCCTTTTGGAAACTCACAAAAATTTTGAAAAAACCTCAAAAGCCTATTCCAGCGCTTAAAGAAGGTGGTAAAATTTTGATCACAAATTTGGAAAAAGCTCAGAAACTTGCTAAGCAATTCGAGAGTTCCCATAATTTCAGTTTGGGTCTTACTAGTCCTATTGAGAATCAGGTTGCTCGGGATTTTCTGAATATTTTCTCTCGGGAAAATATTTTTGATGATTCCTGGGGGACTGATTTGGACGAAGTAAGGTCTATAACTAAAAAATTTCAAAATATGAAAGCTCCAGGTGATGATGGAATTTTCTATATCCTCATCAAAAAACTCCCAGAGAGTACCTTGTCTTTCTTGGTAAAATTATTTAACAGATGTTTCCATTTGGCATACTTTCCTGATAAATGGAAAAATGCAAAAGTTGTTCCAATTTTGAAGCCGGATAAAAATCCAGCTGAAGCTTCTAGCTACCGTCCAATAAGTTTGCTTTCTTCAATAAGTAAACTCTTTGAAAAGATAATTTTGAATAGAATGATGCTTCACATCAATACGAACTCAATTTTTGCAGATGAACAGTTTGGATTTCGCCATGGGCATTCAACTACTCATCAACTCTTAAGAGTTAACAATTTAATTCGTTCAAACAAATCTGAAGGCCACTCAACTGGAGTTGCTCTTCTAGACATAGAAAAAGCATTCGACAGTGTTTGGCATGAAGGTTTGATTGCTAAATTGAAAAAGTTTAATTTTCCACTTTATATTATGAAATTAGTTCAAAATTATTTAACTGACAGAACTCTTCAAGTAAATTATCAAAATTCCAAATCTAATCGACTACCTGTTAGGGCAGGAGTTCCTCAGGGTAGCATTCTTGGGCCTATATTGTATAACATTTTCACTTCGGACCTCCCTGATTTGCCTCAGGGTTGCCACAAATCTTTGTTCGCTGATGACACAGGCATTTCCGCTAAAGGAAGAAGTCTTCGTGTTATTTGCAGCAGACTGCAGAAAAGTTTAGATATTTTCTCTTCTTATTTACAAAAATGGAAGATTTCTCCCAACGCTTCCAAAACTCAACTTATAATATTTCCACATAAGCCTAGAGCTTCGTTTTTGAAACCTAGTAGTAGTCACATAGTCACTATGAACGGAGTTCCAATTTCCTGGTCAAACCAAGTGAAATATCTTGGATTAATACTTGACCAAAAATTAACTTTTAAAGATCACATTGAGGGCATTCAAGCCAAATGTAACAAATATATAAAATGTTTGTATCCTCTTATAAACAGGAAATCCAAACTTTGCCTGACGAATAAACTTCTAATATTTAAACAAGTTTTTAGACCGGCCATGCTTTACGCTGTGCCAATATGGTCTAGTTGCTGCACTACCAGGAAAAAAGCACTTCAAAGGATTCAGAACAAAATTCTGAAAATGATTTTGAAGTTGCCTCCCTGGTACAGTACAACCGAAGTACATAGAATTTCGAATGTTGAGACTTTAGCACAAATGTCCAACAAAATAATTAATAATTTCAGGCAAAAATCGTTGCAATCCTCAATTGCAACGATTAATTCCCTTTATACTTAGATAAGATTTAGTTTTAGTTTTTAGTTTTAAGATATCAATTGTTATACTGACATGCAGGTTAAAAAACCTGTTTAAAATACTGAATTGCCAAGACATGAACAATGTAAAAACACTTAGATATATATCATAACAATTAAGGCTGGTACGTTACTGCAGTAACTGGAGCACCTAGGTTAAAATGAAATGTAATTTATTTTGAATTTGGAACAAATAAAGAGTTAAAAAAAAAAAAAAAAAAAAAAATACATGCAATTGATTCGTGAAAAAAATTAAATTTAAAATAAATACAAAATATATTTACTAAATTCTCAGGGTAAACACAACACAACTAAATCAATCTTTAGTTGTGTGAAAGATTTAGCTTGAACAAAATGGTTAGTTTTGACCTGATTATAAAAAGAAACTTTGACATACATAAAATTTAAAACCTATTTAAATTATACAAATGAAGAATCTTGTTCCTGGTGGGCTTATGAAATTCCTGGTTTTTTCCCGGTTTTTCCTGGTGAAAATAAATTCCCGACTTTTTCCCGGTTTTCCTGGTTCACTTGCCACCCTGACTCCAGGAAAATTATGCAAACTCCAGTGAAGTTCTGAGAATTTCAAAGACCACTGGCGTCTCGTAACCTCACTTTTTACCTGTGCACCAACTTTCAAAACCAGATTTAATGCCATATTCATACTCGAATCGATTGAAAAATATACTTAATCTTCTAGTTTACTCGATATCTATCCATTGCAAGCAATATTTCGATAATTGTTTATGTTTTGATAGTTGGTGCACTGGTAGATTGAGGTTGAAGAAACTCCACTGTCAAAGACATAAGTAAACGTGGCTGCCTCTCACTCCAAATGGCCTGGGTTCAATCCCAGTCGGTACCGTCTCGGAGAAGGTCGAGTTTTTCCAATTCTTCATTTGGTATGAAACTGCTCTACAGCAGCAGATGGGACCTGTTCCTCAGAAAATTTTGTCAAGGTTACAGTGAGAAGCAACCACACACCAAATTCTGAAATCCTCTTCCAGCAAAATGCTTTGCTGAAGAAGGTCCAGCAAAATAATATTTACTGATATACCTATCAGCAAACATATTGTTTATTGCTGGTCACTTCACACTTAGAAAAAATCACCGAATTCTCAACAGCTGAACGGTCGGTAATGTTTTCGGTAATCGAGAACATTACCGAAAAATCTGTAAACTGGATCAGCAAAATTAGCTGTCACATTTACCGAACGATCGGTAACGTTTACCGATATACATTGCTTGATTTGCAGTCGACTTTACCGGAGAACTGTAATTTTGAGGACGATATGCAAATAGAAAATTACAGAGAGATCTGTAATTAAAAAAAATGGTACCGACTCAACTGTAATTTGCTTTAATATTGTTTCAAGGTGGCGGTCACTGCAACCCATGCAAAAATTTGACTGCAGTCGTGATCAATGTGTTAGTGTTGCAAATTGCTCCACCAATGAACAAAAACAAGTTTTTGTCGGAAGGACGACTGTGTTATTCAAATGAGAGCTGGGTAACGTAGTACCGCGTCACGCACATAACGGTTAAATTGATCTCAACATTCCTAAGATATGATCCAGATGTTCTCTGGATCCAGAACGAAGTCCTGTGATCCTGTCCTGGAAGTTAACCAGAACTAATCTTTGCAGTCTTCTATTATACCCAATACTTGATGCCATCACGAAGTCCCCTGAACATTGCAAAATAGGGAGTAGTGCCTACGAAGCTAATTAAACGCGATACAGGCCCCGCCAGCGAGTACTGGCGAACGCCGATTTGATGGCATACATATTTTAGCCGCACATACCTGAAACTGTTGCAGCCAATCGTTCAGTTCCGGAGGAGGATTATCTTTGGTAGGGATTACGCTTCTGGGAGTCTTCCGTTCTCCCAGCGAAGAGGATGATGTTGGCGTCGTAGTTAGCTGTAACAGGGAAAATATCGTTAAAAAAAAATCAAACACAACTACCGGCAAACATCATGCTACTGCTGCCAACAGGTTGTACTTACATTAGACGGACTGCGTAGCGTTCGCGGCGAACTGGTACTATCTAAAGCTAATCGTTTCCGGCTGTTGTAGTTAAGCGATTCGGTGCTGGGGCTATCGCTGTGATTGCCTAGCCCACCACCGGTGACATCTCCGGCCGTTCCCGTCGAAACCCGGCTACCGCCGCTTCCGAACAGGATCCGGTTCTCGGTGAGCTTGCGCTTCCGGTGCAGTCTTGGGGTTTGTGCGTTGCTTCCGGTGGCGTTCGTCGCCCCACCGGTGGTGTTCGGATCGTGAGCGAGAATGTCCTCGGCGGCATCCATGTGAGTATAGCTGGACAGATCGACATCTCGGGATGGCAGTTCGTCTTCGCTGCTGGCGTGTCCACCGGCACCATGGCCTCCGTTACCTTCATCGTCGGTGTAGTCTCTACAGGTACATACCTCTTCGTCGGAACCTTCCTCACAGTCGGCCCAATTATCTTCGTCGCACTCGTGGTCGACGACAGCCGCCGCAGCGGCTAGCTCCGGTGGCATCGATAGTTGTGACGGTTCTAGTAGGGGATCTTCAATGTGATTATGTTCGTGATGAAGTTGGGGTTGGCGGGTTCGATGTGACGAGCTGGAGGGTTCCACTTCATCGGCAATGTTATCGGCAAAATTCGATCCATTGGATGGAAATCTGCCAAGGGATACGTTGCTAGAGCTGCAAGCTTCGTCGTTTTCGCGATCGGCACTGTCGAATGGACAACTGAAGGAAAACAACGAAGAATTGCTGGTGCTCGTTGAAGGAAGTGGATGATGGTTGATGTTTTTGCTGCACTCTCCAGTTTGTTTGATGACCGAGGTAGCACATGACGCTAAACTGCAATCCGAAGGTGGTTTGGTTGTTCCAGATGTTGAAGGACCAGCGGAACAGCTGGCCGATGTAGGTGACGGCGAAGAAGAGGAAGATGATGTGCCGGGTTCATTCACACCGCTACTGTTGGGAGCTGTTGGACAGTCCTTGGCAGATGCCTTCAAAGCTTGTAGGTTGGGGATGAATATCGAACGATCGGACGAAAGGCTATCGTTGGAGTTGCTGTTGAAGATTTCATCAATTTGCTGCTGCTGCTGCTGCTGACGATGTTGTGCCTTACTGCTACTGGAGGCCGAAGAAGACGAGGACGAAGCCATCGAGGAAGAACAGGAAGGACCGTCGGCCATATCCGTTTCATTTACGGCTTCGGTAGCTGCGCAGTAACTATCTAGACTAGCTGACAGGTTCACTTTTAACGCTGACTTTGTTGTACTATTACTGTTTTGTTCCTTATTACTAGTGCTATTAGAACTAGATGGATTACTACTACCATTCTTGTACGCGTTCCTACTGCTAGTTGGCGTTGTCGTAAGCTGAACCTTGCCGTCCGGCTGAGATTTCTTCGCCAATGCATCGTTGCGCATCCTACTAAATCTACTTATAAACTCTAAATTCAGTCTATGGTTATCGGGTATCAAAGCGCTATTTTTAATTATAATCCCGCCAGTCAGTTTTTGTTCCTGTTCAAAATCCCGACGTTCGATTGCATCGATTGATTGCACATCATGAAGATCATCCTCATCCACATCAGCATCGTCGTCGCCGTCAACTCCATCGAGGTCATCTTCCAGCGCGACAACACCTTCATCCTCGGCTATTTCCTCCTGTTCCATTTCCAGAGGCTGTTGCCGGTTTTGCTCTTCAGTCTCCTGTGCTCTGACGGACAATTCTTCACCAATCATCCGCTGATGGCCACTACTGCACGACGAAGTCTCCTCACTGATATAGATTGGATCGGAGATCGAGTTTTCGTCCTGCTCGTATCGATCGTCCCCAGGCTCGGCAACACCATTTGTGATGCTCAGGTTTTTAATCTCATTCAAACTAGCATGCGCTTCACAATCTCCGTCACCCACGACATTTTTGCTGATTCCAGTTATACTGCTGCTGCCGCTACTGTTACTACTGTTACCACCGCGGCCAACCATTTCGTCGTCTTCGTCCTCGTCGTAGTCATCATCGGCCGAGTAGAACTCATCGCTCAGCCGCTTTGGTTTCGCTAGATTCAGCCCGCCGTTGCTTTTCTCCTCGACAGTTGGCGTTTCCAGGTGGATCTGGTTTCCGGCAACGACACCTTTGTCCGGATAGAACCACGCATAACCATCCTTTCCACGCTGCTGTCCGCCGCTTTCCTCCTGCTCGTCGCAATCAATCGTACCGGATTGAGTGGGTGTCGATGAGGCGGATTCCGTCGTCGATGACAGGCTGATCGCGGTAGTCACTGCCGGGGTGATGATCGTCGTGGGCGTACCGGTCAGCGGGTCGGAATCATTTGTGATCTCCCCCAGTGGGCTGGGGCATTGCTGGTGAAGCTGCTGCTCTTCCTTAATTGTGACGATGCATTTTTCTGCCATTCTCTGATGCGGGATTTCAACACAGACTGATGGTGGTTTCGGAGCTCATCAATTTTCGATCTTTGTATCGAGCTCCTGGAAATGGCGGGTACGAGAGGTCTGGAAGGAGACGGGAGAAAAAAAGAAAGAATGGCAATCAATGTACTGCTTTTACAGAGCGTGTCTCTAATTGGCGACATTGTTTTCCCTAAACGAACGATTTATGGCGGTGAATTGTTATGGAAATTTTCAATTAGTGTTTATGACTGGCGCATTCTTCTATTAGGGTGGCATAGTTTCTACCTGTAACCTGCAACACCGAAAGCATAAGCTGCTCCGACAACTCAAGTGCTGTTGGTAAGTATTTTATAAGATTTAAACAAAAAACAATCATCTGACGGTTTTGGTAGATGACCTCATCTTGAATGCCGTTCGTTTTAAGGGTTCAATAGACAGAAGGAATATCCTTGCCGTGCACTACAGCCGAAAAAAATTGCACACAAATGCAGAGAAGAACAACTGTTCGGGCCAGCTGACAGAGCTGATGTGTGTGCGCTCTCCTTTTCCTTTATGCAATTTTTTGTTTGCCCCAAATTTGCTATCTATCAGCTATCTTTGCTCACCTTCCGAAATAAAAAAGAAAAGAGAACAAACCAACTAACAGCGGATGCTGTTGATCTCAATCACACAGACAGAGGCGTAACCAGCATATTAAAGGTATTTGGGTAAATACTCAGCGAACTGTACTTTTCTGGATTTTTCTTGGATTCGTGAATTAAAAATAAAATCGGATCACTTAGCGACGACTCGGGGGCAACTTAACAACTCCAGTATATTTCCTATGTACCCCGAAAACTTGGTGCTGATGGTTCTGTCAAACTCGCAAATTTCAGAAGTGTTATCTGAATAGGGCGAATACGGAAATGATGTACAGTATTGTTGGTTGCAACTAGAAACACTGGAATAAGAGACCAGCGGAGACACTGTCATGATTCCAATCGAACTGTCAAAAGCGGTTCCAATCTGCAATGTTTACAAATGGTTTGCTTCAATTAGGGAGGAGTATTAACATCGTTTAGCAATCACTCATGCTCGTCGGTGCATTGGCGAAGTCACTCGCAAGCAGTTACAAATGCAAGTGATGCCAGGATTGCTTTGATGTCTATCTTGTTGCCAAATTCATGTTTTTTTTTCTCCGCTGGTCTCTTGTTTCAGTGTTTCTAGTTACAACTAATAGTACGTTCAGACTACAGAGTTATAACATGTTATAGCGCTATCTTGATGGTGGTTTCTGTGTTGCAATTATTTGGCAACCGTAATAACATGTTATAACTCTCCAGTCTGAACAAGGCATAAAGGCCCAAACGCAATGTGGACGGAAGCGGAACGGAAACGGAAAGTTTGACAGTTGTCACAAATGACATCAAGAAGCCTAACCGATGTCGATTTGGTTCTAACTAGTTTTCAATCCGACAAGTAGGCTTACTCAGATCGGGCTTTTCCGCTACCGCTGCCGTTCCGCTTCCGCTATCATTGCACTTGGGCCTTAAACCTGGACTGCTCCAAAACTGCAAAAAGTGTGATAAAAGTACACGTTTACGGCAAATCGTTTTGTTGTCTTCGGAACACTTATTTCTTACTCCATAAGGAATAAGTGCACCGAATACAACAAAACGATTTGACATAAACGTGCACTTTTATCACCCTTTTTAATAAGCGAAAACGCGCTTATTTGTCCAGTTTGGTGGGAAATGCGTAATAAATAAAATGCAAATTCATCTTATTGTCGCGTGCCCATCAAACCGGAACGCACGTGTGGTACACGTGACGTCCGACGTCAAAATTAACATTAGTGACATAGGAAATCCAGTGATGCCAGCGAGAAATGTCATTTTGATTTTCAGTCGTATGCACAATTCATAATCAGTTTATGAAGCTTTTTTTGTAGTATTGTATGTCATTGCGCAGAACAGAACCAAACGCTTAAAGATATGATTTGTAAAACGGAAATATATGATTATCATCGAATTAATAGACACAAATGGGAATTGAGCGAGGATACTTTCGGTGATTTCGACGCTATTGCTATTATTGTTGATGATAAACAAAGAAAGAATGGTTTTGCAGTGAGTAAGAGCGTATTTATTACAATATCCTCCCGCTAATCCGACAAATTTGTGGCCGGATTAATCGGGTTGATCCGATATTCCGACTATCAAATCCATACATATAAATGTTACTAACCTAACAATGTGAAAAAAGCTCCATAAGAGACCGTGATGTTGGATTAACGAGACCCGGACTGGAGGGATACTGCCCAAGTATCAATTGGGGTTTTATAAGTGTTCTGTAGACCATAATGAAGACTTGAAGAATGCTTTAAAACCTCGATAAAACTTGAATTGTTACTTGGGTGTATATGCAGCTAGCACTGCAAAATGTACAATTTGAGGTACTGTAAAACGGGGTATCTTTGATTATGCGGGTAGCTTTGATAGTGCATAAGACCCTGCATTTATTGATTAAATTTACTCTTTGCTTACTTACTTATCCTGGTCCGACATTCCTCAGGATTGCACCTGCATCACAATGTTACGCCAATTCACTCGGTCCGTGGCTGCTTGTCTCCAATTTCTTGACCGTCCCACACTTTCAAGATCCTGCTCCACTTGGTCTAACCACCTTGTTCGCTGTGCTCCTCTTCGTCTTGTACCGGCCGGATTCGAGGCAAACACCATTTTTGCGGGATTGTTGTCCGGCATTCTTAAAACGTGTCCCGCCCATCGTACCCGTCCAGCTGTCGCAACTTTCTGGATACAGGGTTCGCCATAAAGTTGCGCCAGCTCATGGTTCATCCTTCGCCTTCATACACCGTTCTGACATACCCCGCCAAAGATGATCCTAAGCACTCGTCGTTCGAAAACACCCAGTGCTTGCAGGTCCTCCTCGAGCATCGTTCACGTCTCGTGCCAGTAGAGCCTCCTGTACATGGTACATTTAGTATGGGGGTGAAGTTTACCCGACCTCAGGGTCTTATGGAGTCCGTAGTAAGCACGACTTCAGGCAATAATACGCTGACGAATTTCTCTGCTGCAGTTGTTATCCGACGTCACCAATGATCCGAGGTAAACAAATTCATCCACCACCTCGAACTCATCTCCGTCGATTGTCACGCTTTTGCCTATGCGAGCCCTATCCCGCTCGGTTCCTCCAGCTAACAGATACTTTGTTTCGACGTATTCACCTTTAACCCAACCTTCTCTGCTTCACGTTTCAGTCTAGTGTACTGCTCCACCACGGCCTGAAACGTTCTTTCGACAATGTCCACGTCGTCAGCGAAGCAGATGAACTGGCTGGACTTATTGAAGATCGTGCCCGCATGTTAAAGCCCGCACGTTTCATAACACCTTCTAGCGCAATGTTGAACAGGAAACAGGAAAGACCATCGCCTTGTCGAAGTTCTTTGCGAGTTTCAAACGAGTCCGAAAACGCATCCGATATCTTCACGCAGCACTGTGCACCATCCATCGTAGCCCTGATCAGTATGGTCAGCTTCCCGGAAAAACCGTTCTCGTCCATAATCTTCTATAGCTCTTCACGGTCAATAGTATCATAAGCGGCCTTGAAATCGATGAATAGGTGGTGCGTAGGGACTTGATATTCACGACACTTTTGGAGGATCTGCCGCAACGTAAAGATTTGGTCCGTTGTCGATCGCCCGTCCACAAAACCGGCTTGATAACTTCCCACAAATCTGCTTGCTAGCGGCGATAAACGGCGAAAGATGTTGTAGTTTAGTTTATTACCCTTGATATCGTTTAGAGTTTTATATAGTACCTATGTGTTACATATTTTTCAAATATCTGAAAAATCAATTTTATTGTTATTCGCCTGTTTGAAAAGGCACTCAAACAATCACTTATTACATGTATTTCCGATAAAGCCATTATAAATTCAATGTTGTCTTCCTATTGCTAATGATGTTTTCTGATTATATACGCATTCAAAGTTTCATATTTCTTGAACCAAATATTTAAAAAGTTTTTCTAATAATGCACAAAATTAACCAAATTCAGACATAATTATATCGCTTTTAGGTACCGTAAAACGGGGTAACATTGATAGTTTTTTTAATGTATATTCTAAATATTTTTTACAGCAATGAATGTTTTTCAAATTTTACAAGTACTGACGATCCAAGACTTAATTCGTTAGTAATATGTTAAACGGAAATTAAAGCATTTGCACTATTTTTTTAGTTTTGTGACCGAACTTCAGTATTATGATTTGGGGTTACTTTGATAGTGCTCGATGAATGTAGAAAAAATATGAGTGAAACTCAAACAATTTAGTTCTCTAAATATGAAACTTTCAATGAGTATATAATCAGAAAACATCATAAGCAACAAGAATACAACATTGAATTTGTGATGGCATATCGTAAATACATTTCATAAGTGATGGTTTGAATGCTTTTTCAAACAGGCGAAAAACACGAAATTTCTGTTTTAATATGTTTGTAAAATATGTAGCACATACTATATAAAAATTATATACGATATCAACGGAAATACCCTAAGCTTCAATATGGAACCAATGTTTCTAGTTTAGAAAAAGCACAACGAGTAATTTTAATCTTTATATTATACTATCAAAGTTACCCGCATTATCAAAGATACCCCAGAGTAGAAGTTAGATCGACTCCGATGTTATGAATTGACCACCATCTATCAAAAACCTGTTCACATTCGTAAACAATACATCACGTGTATCTGTTTAGTTCTGCGGTTTCGGAAGATTTTAGTCGGATTTTGGTAAAATACTAGCCCTTGCGGTTGCAAAATGCAAAATATCTACAAATTATCTTGAGTTTAGCTTTTCAAGTTCTACAGGCTCAACGGTGTCTTGTATGATGTACCCACAAATTTGTTTAACCCAACCCGCATCATACAGCCCCATAACATCATGTGAGACATATAACAGTGTTAATAAAATATGTTCTCCAAATTATTCTGGAATTCAGATCTTGAAGTTCTATTCAACTAGGTATTGTATGATGTCTCGACTTAATTTGTGAACCCAAAAAGCTTCGTGGAGTCCCATATTATCATGCACAAAAT